TGTGCTATGAGTTTTGGCATGAAATTTTATAAGTGATATTGGCATATAGCTTTCCTTTACTAGGTTTAGATTTCATTTTTAAACTCACTTAAAAATAATTTGGGGGGCTTCCCTGGTGGCGCAGTGGTTAAGAATCCGCTTGCCTGTGCAGGGGACATGGGTTCGATCCCTGGTCCAGGAAGATCCCTCATGCCATGGAGCAACTAAGCCCATGCGCCACAACTACTAAGCCTGTGCGCCACAACTACTGAAGCCTAAGTGCCTAGAGCCCATGCTCTGCAACAAGAGCAATGAGAAGCCGGCACACTGCAACCAAGAGTAGCCCCTGCTCGCTGCAGCTAGAGAAAGCCCACGTGCAACAACAAAGACCAAACGCAGCCAAAAATAAAATAAACTTTAAAAAATAACTTGGAAAAAAAATAACTTGGAATTATTTTCTTATTTTTAACGTGCTGGGCTACTTTAAATATTGTGCTACATGCTTTCTAAAGTTTTGATAATCTTCAAGATAGTTTTTGGAGAAGGTCTTTGACTACTTTCTCTATATTTTCTTAGAAAATTATCCTTTATTGCCACAGTAGTTCCTTACGATTTTCAAAATATTCTGTTTTATTAATAATTTGTTAGTGTCAAGAAGTGTAAAGGGTCTGAAATTTTACCCTACTTGCAAGCTAACGAGTAGCCTACAGCAGTGTCATGGGTGCTGGCAGAAGACACAAGACTCCTAATCCAAAGGCAGAGGATTTTATTGCTCAAAGCACAACAAGCAGCATGAACATCAACATATTTGCCTTGTTCCTCTTTGCCCACAAGTTCCATGGGGGTGATGCGGATGGTCCAGGTAGATACGTGAACATTCAGTGAGCTGCATTATGGGAGAGGACCCGGAGTTTAGAGAACCCAAATCTTTCATAATGGGTAATACACATGCATGACCTTTGCTTTGAGGGAGATACTACCTTTATTATATTGAACAGTTAGCAAACCTGTAGGTTGATTTACAGAGAGAGAGTATCTCTGCCTTCCAAGGGTATTTGTTATACAAACATTCTCAAAATGATAGTCCAGAAAAAAGGTAGTCAGTGTTTCTGCTTGCAAGATATGCTCTGATACCTAGTTGCTGTTTTTTATTTTGTTTGAATGCTTTCCTTTTTTTCCTTAAAAAAAATATATTTTTTTAATTTATTATTTTTGGCTGTGTTGGGTCTTTGTAGCTGTGCACGGGCTTTCTCTAGTTGTGGTGAGTGGGGGCTGCTCTTCGTTGCGGTGCATGTGCTTCTCATTGCGGTGGCTTCTCTTGTTGCAGAGCACGAACTCTAGGAACGCAGGCTCAGTAGTTGTGACTTATGGGCTCCAGAGCGCAGGCTCAGTAGTTTTGGTGCACGGGCTTAGTCGCTCCATGGCATGAGGGATCTTCCTGGATCAGGGATTGAACCTGTGTCCCCTGCATTGGCAGGCAGATTCTTAACTGCTGTGCCACCAGGGAAGTCCCTCCTGTTTTTTCTTATTATCTTAGCAGTTGGTTAATATATTTCATTTAATTTTTTCAAACAACCTGGGTTTTTCACTTGCATATTAATTTCATTATTTTACTGTTATCTAATTAATGGAATTCTGCATTTATTTTAATTTATTTTCTCCTGGGTTCCTCAGTATATTTTGTTGTTCTTTTCTTAAGTTTTGAGTGGGATACTCATATATTTTTTTTCTTTCATTTCTATTGCTCTATTTAAATGTATTGATGAATTTTCTTCTAAGATCTGTAGCTGTATTTCATAGATTCTTGATAATGTGGTGTTTTCAGTATTCTAGAAATTCTTCAATTTTTTTAAATTTAGTAAATAGTTTTAAATTTTTGAAGTGAAGATGTCTCTTGGTTTTAAGATTTTATTTCTCATTTTGTTTCACAGTGATCAAGCAATGATTTGAGTCATTTCAACAGTTTTATACATTTATACGGTAGTCACAGAAAAATACTTTCCTATCTCTCCTATCCCATCTTCTCCCATCTCTTTTCTTACTTCATTTGCATTTAGATATTCTTCACTCAAGTCCCCCATCTGGGTCACTGTCTTCAAGCCCACATCTAACATAGCCTTTATTTGTACTCTCTTGTACTCAGGTGATACCAAATCCCATTCCATAGTTGACAGCCATTCTTCTGTACTCAATATCTACACATGCCTTTTTGCTCAGGATTTCATAAGCCTGTCAATATTAGCATGATTGAAAAATATTTGAGATCATTCTCTGGGAAGTACGTAAGTTTCTGCGGCTATGTAGGATTGGAGAGGAGCACCTAGGGAAGATATGGAGGAGCAAGTGTTTGAGTAAATGTAGCACTGATGTAGTAATCGTATGAACTCTGGTGGAGGTAAGCAAGTCATTGTAGTACAGTATAAAAGATTAGAGGCAGGGCCTCCCTGGTGGTGCAGTGGTCACAAATCCACCTGCTAGTGCAGGGGACACCAGTTTGAGCCCTGGTCTGGGAAGATCTCACATGCTGCGGAGCAGCTAGACCCGTGCACCACAACTACTGAGCCTGCACTCTAGAGCCCACAAGCCACAACTACTGAGCCCACGTGCCACAACTACTGATGCCTGCATGCCACAACTCCTGAAGCCTGCATGACACAACTACTGAAGCCTGAGCACCTAGAGCCCGTGCTCCACAACAAGAGAAGCCACCTCAATGAGAAGCCCATGCACTGCAATGAAGAGTAGCCCCTGCTCACTGCAACTAGATAAAGCCTGCGCACAGCAACAAAGACCCAACACAGCCAGAAATAAAATAAATTTAAAAAAAGGTTAGAGACGGATGTATATATTTGTTAGTGATTACATAATTGTGGGAATTAAATGAGTAACATCTATTGTGAATTTGGGGTTGCTTATTCAATAGTAAGTGAACTTAGAATCGTTTCTGCCACTGGGAAAACTTAGGGGTAAGAGACTAATGGAATAACAAGTGAGAAAATTAATAAATATGTTATTGCAATGTTATAGAGACGAGCAACATGTTTCTGGGATAGAGCATAAAGTGCTTAGACTTAAATAGGATCAGCAGGAATATCTTTTCTGAAGAAGTGATTTTTGATTTGAGATCTGAGGATGAAGAGAAGTCAAGCACACAAAATCAGAGGATTTCTCAAAGAAGGAGCAACCTGTCAAGAGCCCTATTTAATGGCAACAGTTGCATTAAACATTAAACAGTGCATTTTGTGAGCTGAAAAGAGGCCTTTATGGCATGAACAGAGAAAGTAAATGGGAGAAGAGTTGATAAGCAGAAGCCTTATTATTCATGCTCAGGTATTTCTGTTTTATTCTAATTGTAAAGAGAAATCATTGAAAACGTTTAAGTAGAGAGACTCAAACATTGATCAGCAACAGGGTCATTTATTGTCAGATATAAAAAAGAACAAAACAAAAACATGTGCAGGAACTAGTCCTGTAGATCTTGTTTCAGTCAAACATCTCTGTATAGTTTTAACAGACCTTTAGGTGATTCTTACACACACTTAAATCAGGCCTCCACTGATTTACCTTGTTTGCCTAATCACCAACCTCACCTCCATTCCTGAACTTTCTTTATTCTCTGTTTCCTTTGCCTTGTTTTGAAATGTATGAGAATATAGTCTGTTCCATAATACAGTTAATAATCCGTAATACAAATTAGCTTAGTAATGATATGAAGTAGGGAATGATATCAGTATAATGTGGAACTTAGTTGTTTCACAGGTAATTTTCCTGGTTGAATAGTGCCAGAATGGTAGAAATAGATTTATAACATTCAGCAGGAAAGGTAAAAGCCTTTAATTTGATACTTTATTGTTAAGAGCCCTTACACCTCCATATTAAGAAAATTAATAATAAATGCCTACATTCAGGCTCCCTCCCCAGACATGGATACCATCAACCTTGCATGTCTCCTAGCTGATGACAGGTTTCACTTTATCCTATTTCCATCTTAATGGTAGCCTCACTGGCTCAGGGCTTTATTTTCATGTACAATGTCTCAGCACCTGAAATCCAGTGTTTTCAATTTTTTGTGTGCATTTTAATATCCATGATGCAGCCTTCAGCTGTGTTGAGCTGCCTTTCAGGTTATCTCTTGAGATATCAATTATTATATTTGTTAGTGCTCTGCCAATAAAGTTGCATAGATTTGAGTGTTCTTCTCCAGCCCTGTTTTCCCCATAAACTCTAATTTTTGGTGTGTAATTTTACAGAAGATAGGTTTTTTTAGGTACACATATGTGTTATTGTAGCAAGAATGCCTATCTTCTAGAGATGTCTAATCCATTCACTGGTAATGATGCTGAAAATTCAGCCTTTGTGCACCAGTGCCATATCGAATCTTGGAGACAGAGGTTTGGGTGAAGTAGAAAAGAATAGCTTTATTGCTTTGCCAGGGAAACGGGGACACAGCAGGCTAGTGCCTCAAGAACTGTGTGTCCCAACCCAGGAGGATTTGGTGAGTTTTATAGCAGTGGTTCAAGGACGGGGTTGCTGATAAGGATCAGGTTGTGTGCAGGGCCTGTATTCCTTTAATCTGGCCTCAGGTGGTCTCCTGATGAGCGTCTCGAGGTTATCAAACTGTGACTTTCTCTCTGGAACATCTTCTGTTTGGTGCCGGTTTTAGTTCTGCAGAAGAACTCAAAGATACTGTTATGTGTATCCCTTGAGGTAGAACCAGGACACCCCAAGGCTGTACTGTTGTTTCTTGACTACTCCTTCCTTGTTTCTGCATCCCCTCCCTTCCCTGATGAGCAACTGTTCGAATTTGCCCTTTGGGACTCAGGGAAGGTCATGGAGGCTGGAGTCTGTTCCCTGCAAGCAAAGAAATGGGGAACACAGAAAGGCTTCCGTGCCCAGGAGCCCCACAGAGTCCTGCTCAGTTTCAGTAATAGGCATTATTTTAGGTGCTTTTTATTTCTGTATAGTTTTCTTTCTTCTGGAACCGGAAAACAGCGTGTGTTTGCTTTCTTGTTTTCTTTCAGATTTGGAGTCCAGATACAGGACCAATACTTTATCTCCAGAAAAGGACATTTATGAAATATATTCATTCCAGTGGGAGATAATGGAAAGAATTAAAAGCTATGGCCTTCAAGACTCCTTTTTTAGAAATGATTGGGAATGCAAAAGCAAGATTGAGGGGCAAAAGGAACCACAGGAGGGATATTTTGGGCAAGTGAAAATTGCTCCTGAAAAAATGTCCACTTACAAAAGGCATAATCTTCTTGCTGAGTATCAGAGAATTCATAATGGAGAAAAGTTATATGAATGTAAGGAATGTAGGAAGACCTTTATTCGTCGCTCAACACTTAGTCAACACCTGAGAATTCATACTGGTGAAAAACCTTACAAATGTAAAGAATGTGGGCAGGCCTTTAGACAGCGTGCACACCTTATTAGACATCACAAACTTCATACTGGTGAGAAACCCTATGAATGTAAGGAATGTGGGAAGGCCTTTACAGTCCTCCAAGAACTTACTCAACATCAGAGACTTCATACTGGTGAAAAGCCCTATGAATGTAAGGAATGTGGGAAGGCCTTTAGAGTACATCAGCAGCTTGCTCGACATCAGAGAATTCACACTGGTGAGAAGCCCTATGAATGTAAGGCATGTGGGAAGACTTTTAGGCAGTGTACACATCTTACTCGACATCAGAGACTTCATACTTCTGAGAAGCTCTATGAATGTAAGGAATGTGGGAAGGCCTTCGTATGTGGTCCAGACCTTAGAATACATCAGAAAATTCATTTTGGGGAGAAGCCCTATGAATGTAAGGAATGTGGAAAGGCTTTTAGAATATGCCAACAGCTTACTGTCCATCAGAGTATTCATACTGGTGAGAAACCCTATGAATGTAAAGAGTGTGGGAAGACTTTTAGATTAAGGCAACAACTTGTTCGCCATCAGAGAATTCATACTCGTGAGAAACCCTATGAATGTATGGAATGTTGGAAGACCTTTAGTAGTTACTCACAACTTATTTCCCATCAGAGCATTCATATTGGTGAGAGACCTTATGAATGTGAAGAATGTGGGAAGGCCTTTAGACTACTCTCACAACTTACTCAACATCAGAGTATTCATACTGGTGAGAAACCTTATGAATGTAAGGAATGTAGAAAGCCTTTTAGATTGCTCTCACAACTTACTCAACATCAGAGTATTCATACTGGAGAGAAACCTTATGAATGTAAGGAATGTGGTAAAGCTTTTAGACTTTATTCTTTTCTTACTCAACACCAGAGAATTCATACTGGTGAGAAACCCTACAAATGTAAGGAATGTAAGAAGGCCTTTAGACAACATTCACACCTTACTCAGCATCAGAAAATTCATAATGGAATTTAATACAAGAAGGCTTTCAAATGTACATGTTACAGAACATCAGAAAATTCATTTTTGAGAAAATTTGTTTCATGCTCATAACTAAGCATTAAGAAGTTTATATTTCAGAAAAAATTGTTGCTTTAAAACCTTCCACCACCATTCAGACATTGTATATCTTCAGCAAATTTATATGAGGAAATAATATAATGAATGCAGGAAAATCTTTAGCCTTATCTATCATTATCACCATTTCACCCCTTTATTACCAGTGTGTTATTAGATAAGGTACTTAAATTTCTGTGCCTCATTTTGCTCACTTGTAAAATGGTGATAGTAGTACCTATGTATATTAGTTATTTATTGCTGTGTAATAAATTACCACAAACTTAGTAGCTTAAAATAATACACATTATCTCAGTTTCTGTGGGTCAGGAGTCTAGGCATAACTTAGTTGGGTTCTCTGCTTCAGGGCCTCTCACAAGGCTAAAATCAAGATTTCAACCGTGGCTGAGTCTCATTGGAAGGCTCAACTGGGGAAGGGATGCACTTCCAACCTCATGTGGTTGTTGACTGAATTAATTCACTGAGGGCTGTTGCGCTGAGGTCCTCAGTTTCTAGCTGGCTGTTGGCTAAATGCTGACTTCAATTCCTTGCTACATGGGCCTCTTCAAGGTGGCTGCTTACTTCATCAGAGTGTGCAAGCCAAGGAAGCAAGAGGCTGCTAGCATCAAAGAAGCTATCATCTTGTGTAATCTAATCATTGAAATGACATTATTTCATCACCTTTTCTATCTTCTTTTGGTTAGAAGCAAGGAACTAGGCCACCCTACACTCAAGGGAACAGGCTTACACAAGAGTATGAATGCCAGGAGGAAGGGACCACTGGGGCCAATTCAGAGTCAGCCTGCTACATCATGTAATAGAATTGTTGTGAGGAGTGAGTAGTTAATACTTGGAAAAATAGCAGCCACATAGCATGTTTTCTGTAAATATTACCTATAGTTGTTATTAACATCATTAGTATTAGTGAATTCATATGAGAGGAATATCCTATAGAAGTAATAAATGTAGAAATGCCTCCTGTCACTGCTCAGCACTTACTAAACTTAAGATAATTTATTCTGGATAAAATCTAGGAGGTTATACTGAATGTGAGAAGTTCTTTATCACTTGAGCTGCATCCGAAATTTCATGCTGAAAAGAAACCTTATGAATTTTATGAATATGAGGTTGTTAAGAGTATAACTATTGGAAGAATCAAAGAGAAATACGAAATTATTTTCCCATAATAAATTCCAAAGAGTAAATGTTTTATAATCTCTCATCTCTGACCACCATTCAATTAATTAGAAATTATCAAAAAGGTGGCATAAAGGAACTAACCACTTGGAAATTTAATTGTGTGTTTGTGTGTGTGTGTGTGTGTGTGTATGATACTCTTGTATAAAAGAAAGAAAACATTCCATTACAGTCAATATACTTTTTGATGCTCAAATTGCCCCATCTTCAGCCAGTGGGAGTTGGGTCTTTTCACATGATCCCAATAGCAGTTTGATAATTTGCTCAGTTATGGCTGCTATGGGAAATGCTTGGGTACCAACTCATTATTCTGAAAACCAATAAATAAATGGAAAAATAAGTATTTATTTTGCTTTTCCCATGTGAATCAAGTTTCAGAGTCACCCAAAACTCATCAAATTAATTTTTTTTTAATTTAAGAAATCTCACCAGTAAATACAGAAAAATTGATAGGATTAGAAAAATTTTCTAGTTCCTAATGGAATAATGGGTCCAGAAAATGATCTTCAGTGGATATTAAAACTATTTGGGAAAAAGTTTATAGTGAGAACGTTACATTGGATTTATCAAGCTGACCACCTCTGAGCCCTTTATTCAATTTTAACGTCTATAAAGGTGGGACTATTAGACAATAGGCACCTCCTGATACAATGCAATTAGGAAGTACATACCACTACCCATGAAGTCTTATTGCCAGAATAATGAACTGAAGGAATCAAACCTTTAAATCAAAAATTTTAAAGCCAAGAATTTGGGGAATAGATGAAAAAGTAAATGGCACCGCAAGGAAGCAGCCAAGCAGATCCAGAATGTGTAAAATTCTACAAAACAAATGACCTGATTTCTTCAACTAATGAGTGGCATGAAAAAGAAAAGAAGGGCACTGTTAACAGATTAAAAAAGACGAGGCATATCAACTAAATTCAATATGTGGGTATTATTTGGACCCAGATTGAACAAGATGTAAAACAACATTTTGGAGACTGGGGGAAATGTGGACATGCACTGAGTATTAAATGATTTTTAGAAATATTAGATTTGTTTGTTAGGGATGATAATGTCAATGTGGTTATTAAAAGATAGAACATCCTATGTGTTAGAGATACATATATATGAAATAAGATACCCAGATTTGCATTAAAATAACTCCAGCAAAAGAAAAAGAAAGCAAATTGGCAAAGAGCTAGAAAGTAGATTAGCAAAATGTTGATAATTACTGAAGTAGAGTAGCTGTTTATGGAGGGTTCATTGTTTTAACATTTTTACCTTTTTATGTATTTGAAGTAATATTTAAAATCAAAGCTGAAATTATACACTACTTAAGAAATGATTGTTAATGAGATGCCTGCATATCTAAATTTGTCAGATGTAACCAAAGTTCTATTCAGTGAGAAATGTGTGCCCCTGAATGCATTAAGGAAACTTCGTTTGTGGGCCCAGTCTTCATCTTCTTCACTTACCTGCAGCAATCAGTGCTGGGCCTGTCATGTAGATAAATGTATTAAAGGAATGAATAAGCATTTATGTCAAGAAACAAGAAACAGAACAAAGTCAAACCAACACAAGAGAAGCAAAGTACAATTGAAAGTAGAAATTAAGAGATTAGACACTAGTAGACTTCCAATGTTAATGACTGTATCTTGGCAGGTCTAATCAAGGAAAAGAAAATGAAATATAAACATTCAGCATTATGATAAAAGTGATTACAGATTATCAATAAATTTTCCTTTTAATTATAAGGTAACACTGTATGTACTATATGTATTCCAATATATGTAAAAATACAGATGGATTACATTTTCTTCTCTATAAGTATGTTATCACAATTGACTGTGCTCTAGAACCCACAGACCAACAAATAAATGTGTGTGTGTACGAAGTTCCTGTTTAAGGAAAAAATCTGATAGTTGTGTAGGTAAAAACCTTAAGAATAGATAATCCTTAACAAGATTTTACTAATTAATTTTACACAGGTGAAATAATCTGATACAAAACTAGATGAAGATAAAGAGCAAAATCTAGACCAACTTCACTTATGAAAATTCTATTCTTCATAATTCTAAATAGTTATATTTAGAATTTCTTACAAAATCAGTCTTCACTAATAGGCCAGTGTTTTGCCTTTCCCAAGTACAAAGTAGCTCCAGAAGACCAGTGTTTAACCAACATTCTCCACAAGTTTGCTTCAGAGAATACTAGTCCTTGATGATATTTTAAAAAATATATCTGGGGAAAAACTGTAAATGAAACAAAGGATAAAGTATCTACTTCTGGGGGAAATCCGAGTACACATTATCAGCTTGTCGAAAGATGTATTAAAGAAATTTTCATTTAACATAGTGTATCTCAAATTTACTTCATTGTGCACTTCTCACTCCAAATACCTTTTAACACCTTTAGAATGTGAACCACTTTGGTAGATGTTACCATAACCACAATGAATGTCTTCAAGGATGTCATTTCAGACATGGTGAGTGATTGTGTTGGGAAGGGGTGAGGAAGGACACTTTTCTTTTGCAGCTCACATTATACTCTGAAAGCAGCTTCCTGCTTGAATGGAAGGCTAGTGATTTTCTATAGAATGGAAAAGATTCCAGCCTGGTGCTTGATAATGTATGTATTAAACATGCTTAAATATTCTATTAAACAGTGATTAGGACAAAATGATTTTTCATTGTAATAAAAATGCTATATTGAATACCATTTTGTGCGGGGTTTTTTTTCTTATTTTTAGTTTTTGGAATCAAGCCAGTTTATTGAGGGGCTTTGGGGGAGAGTCGAAAGGCAGGGAGGACAATGAGATCCGATGTCCTTCTCCCAGCCGGGACCTCCCCAGCTTCACAGTCGCTGAAAGCCGTTTTCTTATTTCTTTGAAGAGTTGAGACTCAAAGGTGCATATCTAGAAGTGCTGTGTATACTGTGTTTCACATATTGCTAGATTATTGCTCCATCATTGCACCACTACTGAATCCCTTCAGTTATTGAATATGAGTGTCTGTACTTCCCTGATTGCAAGTGAATTGAGCACATTTTTTCATATGTGTTTATTGGCCAATTATGTTTCCCTTAGTGCTTTTTTTTTTTTTTTTTTCGGTTTCGTTTTGCGGGCCTCTTACTGTTGTGGCCTCTCCCTTTGCGGAGCACAGGCTCCAAACGCGCAGGCTCAGTGGCCATGGCCCACGGGCCCAGCCGCTCCGCGGCACGTGGGATCTTCCCGGACCGGGCACGAACCCGTGTCCCCTGCATTGGCAGGCAGACTCTCAACCACTGCGCCACCAGGGAAACCCCCTTAGTGCTTTTTTTATTCATGCATTTTCTCTCTTTCTTTCTGGGTTATCTCACTGATTTTTTTAGGATTTTTAAAATAATCCAGGTATTGATAATTCCAGGTATTACACATTTATAAATGTTGGACTTATTTTCTCTCAAGGTGGCTTGTGTTTTCACTGTGTTATGGTGTTTATTGTTTTGCATACAGTTTTCATTTTAAGCCATACCAAATAATTGTATTCTTTTTTCTTTTTTATATTTTATGTTTTCTGCCATGTATCTGCAAATAGAAATAAGTTCCCTCAATATTTTTTATTATTTATTTTATTTCTATTTCTTATTGCAGTAGCTGGAGTTTTCAGAATAAAGTTGAATACTAGTGGGAATAACTTCCCTCATTTTTCCAATTTAATGGAAATCACATATCTATTTAAACATTTAGTATAATGCTTATTGACTTAGAGTAAATAGTCTGTTATATGTAAGTAGTTTCATTCAGTCCCTGTTCTACTTAATGCCTGTTAGATTTTGTTGGGAGCTATTTTATCATCTGTTGGTGTGAACCTGTTTTTTCTCCTTTAATTTTCTGATGTGATGAATTATGCAGATTTCTTGACAAATTCAGGGGTTCCTACAACCATTCTTAGGTTGAGTAGTTTACTACAACAACTGACCCAACTCAGGAATGTAGTGCAGTTATGATTAGTTTTATTACAGTGAAAAGATACAAATTAGAATCAGCTAAAGGGAGAGATGGATGCCTAGGACAAAGTGTGGGAGGGATCCAAATGTGGAGCTTCTGGTCATCTTCTCCTTGAACACAAGGATGTTATTATCTCCTCTTGGCCATGAGTTGTGACAATATGCACAAGAAAGCTTGCCCAAGTCTGTGGTCTCCAGATTTTTTGTTGGTGCTCACATTCTGTCCATGAGGTTAGGCTGATCTTTAGCCTTCAACTCCTTCAGAAGGTTCAAGCTCACACCTTTCAAGTATGAGCATCGAAGTTTCAAGTCTCCAGTTCTTCCAGTGGTCAGAACTGATATGGTGTGTCCCAAAACCTCTATCATAAATCACATTGTTAGACTGGTGGCTTGGGCCCCCAAGCAAACAAAGACACTCCTATCAGGCAGGACATTCTACGGGCCTAGAGATTACTTACAAGTCTAAGGACATGCTGCCTGTAAGTAAAATTCTATACGTATATCCCACGAATGCTCAAATGCTTTGTATTTAACTTGATGTCATCACATTAGGCTGACGACGAGAATCTTTGTAATGTGGGCTTAGTAAGAGCAGAGCTGCATGTCAAAGTGAATTTCATGTTTACCTATATTCTATTTTACCAATATACAAGAATAACACGATGTCTTAAAGGGTGCAGGTAGTTCAGAAGTATTATTGGAAAAGGAAAGAAGAGTAAAAATACTCTACTATACCAAGGGATAGAGAGAAACATGTTATTGTTTATTTTATATAGGTAACATCTGTTTAATTGGTCCTATTACATTTCCATTCTCTTTTTTAAAAAGCCTTTTTTTTTTTTTTGCGGACGTGGGCCTCTCACTGTTGTGGCCTCTCCCACTGCGGAGCACAGGCTCCGGATGCGCAGGCTCAGCGGCCATGGCTCACAGGCCCAGCCGCTCCGCGGCATGTGGGATCTTCCTGGACCGGGGCACGAACCCGTGTCCCCTGCATCGGCAGGCGGACTCTCAACCACTGCACCACCAGGGAAGCCCTGATATTTCTATATATTTCAAAATTATTACCACAATAAGTCTAGTTATGATATGTCACCATACAAAGATATTACATAGTTATTGACTGTATTTCCTACAAGGTACATTTCATATCCATGACTCACTTACTGTGCAACTGGAAGTTTGTGCCTCTTAATCTCCCTCACCTATTTCTCTACTTCCCCCAACCCCTCCCCTCTGGCTTGTTTCATCTCTGTATCTATCAATCTGTTTCTGTTTTGTTATGCTTGTTCATCTGTTTTGTTTTTTAGGCTCCACATATAAGTGAAGTCATAGAGTATTTGTCTTTCTCTGTCAGACTTATTTCACTTAACATAATACCCTCTAGGTCCATCCATGTTGCCGCAAATGGCATCATTTCATTCTTTTTAATGGCGGAGTAATATTCCATTATAATAAATACCACATCTTCTTTATCCATTCATCTGTTGAGGGGTATTTAGGTTGCTTCTATGTCTTGGCTATTGTAAATAATGCTGCAATGAACATTGGGGTGCATGTATCTTTTCAAATCAGTGTTTTCATTTTCTTCAGATACATAACAAGGAGTGGAATTGATGGATCATATGGTAGTTCTATTTTTAACTTTTTCAGGAATCTCCATATGGTTTTCCAGAATGGTTGCACCAATTTACATTCCCACCCACAGGGTTCCCTTTTCTCGACATTCTTGCCAACACTTATTGTTTGTCAGCTTTTTGATAATAGCCATCTGACAGCTGTCAGAATGATCAGGTCATTCAAGATGGCTGTTCTCTTGCTCTTTGTGAATCCCCTACTCGACCAGTTCCTCCTTCACCTGTAACCTACTCACGTGAATGTCTTTGCCTCCTGCCCCAGCTAGTGATTGTTCTAATCCTCCGGCCAGAATGGCCCCACCTGCTACTTTATTAAAGGGAAATATCTGCCCTCATGATGCATGTTAATCTGAGGGGCTGTGAGGGACGTGCCCCAGCTACTGGTTTCCCTGGTAACTGATGAGCCAAGCTGACGTCATTTCCCCTATAAATTGTAGGCTCCTTCTCCCTTGAGTAGTGAAGACTGTTGCCGTGTCCTATTCGCTGTCTGATGCACACTGTGGGGTGTCACTCCAGGACCTTGCTTCAGGTATGTAAGATCCTCTCACCCGATAAACCACTGATATCTCTGTTGCCATCTCTGGGCTCTTTCTTCGGTCTTGAGGCTGGGCAACTACAAGGCTTGCAGTTCTGTGGGGTACAGCGCAATAGTTGGCCAGCCAGGAGGCCGAGGAAACTCCCACAAGTGCCATGAGGTCAGGATATAAAGATGGGGGACAGAAAGTTATGGGGGTGATCCCGAGGTGGCTGTCCACTAGCATGTGGGGCCCTGTGGCAGCTGACTACCATGAGGCATGTCTTTCTCTTCCATTATATCAATGATATCCTGTTAACCTCAGAGTCTCTTTCCAGTTTAAAAGTAGCAGCCCAGGGGCTTCCCTGGTGGCGCAGTGGCTGAGAGTCCGCCTGCCGATGCAGGGGACACGGGTTCGTGCCCCGATCCGGGAAGATCCCACATGCCGCGGAGCGGCTGGGCCCGTGAGCCATGGCCGCTGAGCCTGCGCGTCCGGAGCCTGTGCTCCGCAGCGGGAGAGGCCACAACAGTGAGAGGCCCGCATACCGCAAAATAAATAAATAACTTTTAAAAAGTAGCAGCCAAATGCTTATGGCTTATCTGAATGCACATGGATGGCTGATGAATAAAACACACAAGGACCTGGATTATCTACAAAAGACAAGCCTCACCCTCCGACCCCTCACCCCTAAACAATTACATACACAAGCTTTAGGGATATTACCTCAGGGATAGGCTTGTGAATTGGACGTGGCCAGTTACCCGGAAGGGTTTGGTTGGGGCCTGTGGCAATGGCAAAATAATAGTAACCTTCTGGTCCCAGCTATGGCAGAGGGCAGAGCAACAATCTAGTGTGATGGAATGACAGCGATATGCATCTACGGTGCATTGCAAAGGCGGAAGACGTTACCAAAGACCTACCTGAGTCATCTAACAATGCAAGAAAACCCTACTATTTGGGGTCTAGAACGCCTGTGTGCAACATATAGGACCCCCATGGACATCAACAGTGAACAAGGAAACTACTTTACCAGCCACGATGTTCAGGAATGGGCTGATTAAAAATGACATACGCTGGCATTTCCACCTGCCCTCCAACCTCACTGCTCCCGGGCTAATGGAAAGAATAAATGGACTCCTTAACAACTGATGTTGAAAACCCATGCTCTCGATATGCGGACCAGAGGCTAACTCAAGCCCTAAGGACTATAACTGAACATCTCAGGAGCAGTTTTCCCAATGACCAAGCCATATTAACCCAGAGACAACTAGTCAACACAATGCGAGTTCAACGGTTGCCCACCGAAGGACGGTTGCCAACTACTGGTCAGGACAGTAACTCACTCTGGCCCTTGCCACAGGGTCTACCTCCAGGGGAACACGTTATAAAATGGCCCTGGGACTGGCAGGTAAGTCCCGGGTGTTTGGAGTTTGCCGCCCCATGGGGGACAGGATTAGAAAGGGACTGACAGACTTCACCTGTCTCCTACTCAGCCCACCTGAGACTACTAAGGTAATTACTCCGGGCCCCTTACTAGAGAAAGGCGCCATTACATTAACCCTGTGGTGGGTTGTTAC